TTCTTGATGAACAAATACCGCGATAGATACTGTTGAAAGTATTGTGGCCGGTTCCCAGGACGTTTCACCCACTCCTTAACGTCCCGCCACAATCTCTCAATGTTCTGCGTGTGAATTGACCTGTCACCAGGATCCACAAACTCCTCCGAATGATTAATGACTCGATGGGTGTATCCCTCCTCGTCGAGACCAAGGTACGCTCCCCAACCGTCGCTACAAATGATGGAGCCAGGGAGAATAAATTTCTTAATCAAGGGAACGAGTGTTTCCTTGTTCCTGTTGGGAGAAAGAGGAGGGACCAAAGGAACCAAGAAAGATTTCTTAGATTCCCTCTCAATTCCTCCGAACACCCAGATGTTGCTCAGCTGCCTCCCGCGGCCGTACTTCCTCTTGCCAAAACAGGACTCGTCAATTTCTACGACGACCTCAGGTCCTCCAATTGCTTCTTGATTATTAAGCCAGTTCTGTGTAACCTCTGAGCAGAAGCTACGCCAGTCAACGCTGGTTCTCTCTGCCCAACCGAGGTTTTCAAATACAATGTGGTGGTTCCAAATTTTTTCTAAAAAAAACACAATAAAAACCACCAGATCTGAGGGAGCGACGTGAGCGTTTTCGAGGAATGTCCCCTTATAGTCACTTACAGTGAAGGAGCACTGCTTCCGCCTTTTAGTTTTTGCAATTTTTGTCCAGCGGCTGCAGAACCACCTTCCATCACGAAGCGTGCACGGTAAATTGCAATGCTTGCAAAGTACTTGCGAAGGAAGAACACCGTGATTCCGTAGAACTTCCAAGCTAGCTTCGTTATCTTCAAAATATAATTTGATAAGTTTCATGGGCTTGTTGTAACATCCATCACAAAGCGAAGCCATGGTGAGACTGACTTCGAATTTTAATTTACCAAACCGCTCTTTCTTAATATTGTCCATTGATTGGTTGCTTCCGTATCCTTTGTTTCCGCCTGTTTCCCTATTCGTGGAAAAAATAACCGCCAAACATTTAGCCAATCAAATGATGGCACTAGTCGTGACGTCACTGGAAAAATAACACGAATACTACACGTACGATTGACTCCGCGCATGCGCAGTAGCGAAATTGATCAGTTTTTCCTGAGCTCGCGAAGAGGAAAGAACAAGACTAATATATTTTATTTTTATTATTTTGAAAATTAAATAGCTTGTTTATGATTCGATTGCGAGATAAGATTATTTAAGAAAAAAGTTTAGAAAATTAAAAAACTTCACGACTGTAAGGTTAGTTTCCCTGGATTTTATGTTTACGCTTTTCTCCAATAATACCTAAATAGTAACCACTGACAGCCGTTTCACCCAACCCGCATTCATCATACATACTAATACATCATTGTTGTTCTGTGAACATCACCATTCGTAACTGAAGCGTCTTTCTTCGACATTTTAAACCTCTCATCTTTATTTATAATCTAAAACATACGCTTTATGCTTTTATTTTGTTCACGTATATCACTCCTTATTCCTAGGTCCTCTTGCACCTCCTATTTACACATACCAAGAGATTGTCCGTAGATATTCTATTATGTATAAGGACCTCTGTCACTCGCTTTGTCAGAGTACACATCAAAAAGCCCTCTTTCTATACACCCACTTTCCCCTAAAAGCCAATGTAACTCGACGCGCACACTCTACGCATACATATGTCTACATACTGTCTTGTCTACTCCTTACACACTTTTCTCTCACACAATCAACGTAGCTCTTGTCGAACTAAAATCCATCTCCAAAATCTATACAGATAACATTACAACTCATCGCTCTTGCTATTGGTTAATATTAACATTTAGATTTTTTTTCGGTCATTTCCCCTTGACCTAACCCAGCTTAGCCTGTCGTAACCCAAAGTGGCGCCTGTCGTGTTGTTCATGAGCACGGAGCCAAACTGTCAAATATCAATTATCATTGCCCTTCTCGCTCTCTCACTTTCGCTCTCTCTCTCTCTCTCTCTCTCTCTCTCTCTCTCTCTCTCTCTCTCTCTCTCTCTCTCTCTCTCTCTCTCTCTCTCTCTCTCTCTCTCTCCCTCTCTCTTTCTCTCTCTCTCTCTCTCTCTCTCTCTCTCTCTCTCTCTCTCTCTCTCTCTCTCTCTCTCTCTCTCTCTCTCTTTCTCTCTTGTTCTTGTTCTTGTTCTTGTTCTTCTTGTTCTTCTTGTTCTTCTTCTTCTTCTATTTCTTCTTCTTCTTCTTCTTCCTTCTCCTTTCCATGCTGCTCTCTGACCCTTCCCTCGTCTGTCCATTGCCATTAACTTATGCTCACTCACCATCGGGACTGTGTCTTTCGCATCAATGATAATTTTTTTCCTCTTATACTTATTTGAATGCCTCGTCCTTCTTTCTTTGCTGTTTAAAAAAACCTGTTCTTTGGCTGTCTCCAAGTTGTTTGGTACGTCAGTATAGGATGTTCTATGCTATTGCGATTGCTCAGTAATGATGATAATAATAGCAGTAATGATAATGGTAATAGTGATAATAATTGTGGTAATAATGATAATATTTATTGTAGAAGTAGTAATAATGATAATAAAGATATAATGATAATGATAATACCATTCATAACGATAGTGATGATGATGATGATGATAATAATAATGATAATTGTAATGATGATTATGATAATAGTAATAATAATGATAATAATAATAATGTGATAATAATGATAATGATAATGTGATGATAATAATAATAATAATGATGATGGTGATAGTAACAATGATAATGATGATGGCCATCATCATTATTGATGATCATAATAAATGATAAAGTAATGGCAACGATAATGATGATGATAGTAATCATAATAATAATGATATGATAACAATTATTATAATAATAATAGTAATGCTAATGAAAAAAATAATAATAATCATAATAATAATAATAATAACAATAACAATAATATTATTTATATTATTATCTTTATTATTATTATTATTATAATTATAATTATCATTATTGTTATTATTGTTATCATCATTTCCATTACCTTTACCATCATCATAATTATTGCTGTTGCTGAGTTTGTTGTCACTCTTGTTATTAATATTATTGTTATTATTATTAAAGATAATAATACTAAAGATGATAATAATATTTCGTTATTATTATAACCTTACATCATCATCAATCATCATCATTATTGTTGTTGCTGTCATTGTTACTCTTACAAATATCATTGCCATTTTCATCGTAATTATATCACGATTCCTGCCACGATAATCATTACCTTTATTATCATCGTTACCCAATAATAATAATAACAATAATAATAATAAGAAGAAGAAGAATAACAATAATAGTAATATTATTATTGATAATAATAACAATGATAATAATAATAATAATAATAAGAAGAAGAAGAAGAACAATAATAATAATATTATTATTGATAATAATAACAACAATAATAACAATGATAATAATAATAATAATAATAATAATGATAATAATAATAACGAGCAATTAAGACTGCAAGATATGTATTTAACGGGTTTCGATCATGCCTTCGTCAGAAATACATATCGATAGCCATTCATTCCTTTTCTACATTTGTCATTTGTCATTTGTCATTGTCCAGAAGTCAGCTTAGTGATTGCCATGATTATTTACTGTCGTGTTGCTTTCCTTACCATTTACGCGTTTAATTGTCATTATTGGTATCAATGTCGCAATTATATTTTTTATATTCTAATTACCTCCGCCAAGGAGGTTATGTTTTTGACGGCGTTGGTTTGTTGGTTAGTTTGTTTGTTAGCAGCCTAGCTCAAAAAGTGCTGGCCGGATTTCATCGAATTTTTTGGGACAAGTCAGAAAGGGACTAACTTAGAACTGATTAAATTTTGGTGACATTCCGAATTACCGTCTGGTTATTATTATTATTATTATCATTAATTAATCAATAAAGTGCACAAATCTACGGTAAACGTTTCACTGACATTCCGAATTACCGTCTGGACGCAGCAGCGGTGTAAGTACATTATATATGCACCTTGGCGGAGGTCTGCACTCTCTGAGTGCTTTTCTAGTTTTTATTATCATTATCACTATTATTATCACTCTTAGTAGTAGGAGTAGTATCATCATCATTATTATCATCACTATTATCATCCCAATAATTATTATTATTTATTATTATTATTATCATTATTATTGTTGTTGTTGCTGCTGTTGTTATTATTAGCATTGCTATCGTTATTATTTCAACCATTATTATTACTGTTGTTGTTGTTGTTATTATTACCATTATCATTGTTATTATTATTATTATTATTGTTATCATTATCATTATTATTATTATTATTATTATCATTATCATTTCAGTAACGATTTTTCATTTCTGTTATTTTTCATATTGGTATTCTTTTTTCCTACATTACTGATATTGTTGTAATTACTATTATCATTATTACTATTATTATCATTATTGTTATTGTTATTATTATTACTTTACTGTTGATGTCATCATCATCATCGTCGTTGTCGTCGTCGTTATTTTTGTTTTTGTTATTCATAGTTACTACAGATGATATCATCATTACTTTATCATTTTTATTGTTTGCATTGTTATTATTACTACCTCAAATCTCGGCTTCCATTATCAATACCATGTTTCCATTATTTTATTTGCCACCGTTACTCACACTGAAATTAATATTACTCAATATATATCATGTTCTCTCCACGTCATAATCGGTGATCACGATAACAAATACCTGTAATGATAAGAGTGACAGGTGTTATCTATAGAAGTCAATTGAAACTCTAAAGAATGATGACTTCAACGGTAATTTATTTCAAATGTTCTTAATCAATACAAAAAACTTTTCAGAGTTATGAAAGTATAATTTGATTGAAAGATGTCGATGGTGATTAATTTATATAGACTAGTGTATTAAGCAGATGCTCGTTTGACCCCAGAGTCAGCTGATCATGTAAACAAACCCCAGAGCCCGAGTCAGCTGATCACGTAAACAAACCGCAGCCATGTCCGCCCACCACCGAAACGTGAACAAGCTCGTCGTAGTGAAGAAATTGACTGACATTTCCTACCCGATTGAACAAATAGTGAGAGCTGAGTTAGAATCGAACAACAAGGGCTTCCTGACGCTGCTGGGAGATGGGAGGTTGATATTAACGGCTTGGATTAACAAGAAAGTGACCTCGAAGATTGTGGAAGATGCGTCAGAGTGAGTCATGTTTGGCAGAAACTCGTAGGAAGTGTGTTCATACTAACATAATTATAGCATTGTTTGTTTTTTATTCTTTGTAAAGTTTTGGTTAATGTTATATAAGCATAGAAAATAAAGTAACAGCACAGGTAGAAGGTAGGAAAGGTCCAGGGTGCATTTCATGCATTCATGCCCTTAGGCCCAAAGATCTCTGGCGTAGAGTTAGCTTTCCTGTCGTTGTGGCAGTGTGGATTTAGCCTAAATTATATTCCTTGGCGTATTGGCGTAATGAAAAGGAAAAAGGCTTTTTTATCTTTACTGCCTTTTTAAGCTTTTAAGTTGAATGCAATGCACTTATACATAGTCGTTTGTTTTATTCTTTTACAATTCACGATTCTTTTTAAAAAGTGTGTGCTGCCATCAGCAATCTACTTGGCTATAACTTGGCGTCATACTTTATGAAAAATTACTCGCATCGGGAACGTTGGCGTACACTCGATGAGCTATTGGCGTACCTCCGACGTGAGTTTTACACAGTATGCACCCTGGGGAAAGGTTAGGTTTGGATTTTAGGCTCACATGATACCTGGAATTGTGAGTAGAATTTTTTCCTTAAAAAATGTTAATTATATAGACACCCTGAGGAGAAATGGTTTTCAAATTAGGATATTGTATGCCTTATGAGACTGTAGGATATATATTGTATTTGCTAAAATAATAGAACCCAGAAAGAATTACTGGTGAAAATTATAGTATTGAAATTGCTCATTATCTGATCTTAAGTGAATTCATCAATCAGTCTTATGGCATGTGAGCAATGATAGGGAGTTAACTTGAATAATTGGAAGGATGTAATGGATACCAAGGAAAGTGCAGGAAAGAAATAATTAGACAAGATCAGAGTGCATTTACTGTGATATATTTCTGACTTTTCTTTTTCTTTTTTCTTTTTTTTTTTACTTGAAGTATCATTGTATCTGTGTGTTTTTGGAAATGATCATAGTAGTTTAGTATCTATTGTCACTTGATAATCTGTTACAAATTTAATTGCTGTATTATACCCTTCACAAGTATCTGTTTTCCTCTGGAGCCTGTGTATTGGTAAAAGATGTTTTCTAATAGTTTTTACATATACAATTTTCATCCTTATTTTGTAATGATGGAAAGGGAAGGGCAATGCGACAACTGGAGTTTTGTTATTTATATCTTAATTTTCTAGTGTCTGCATTATTAATTATATTGAAGATTTTGTTTTAATGATTTGTTCTATCAAATAATAAATTCAGGTATATTAGGTTTGCTGTGAGGATGTCTATTCTGGTAACACTAGCATGCAAAAATAGCAGTTTATAGTAAGAAAGTAGATTTATTCCAAATCTTTGGATAAAATATACTATCTTACCATACATAGGACAGTGCTTCATGGCCATTACAATTTTTTTTAAGAAATTGACTTTATTCTTTGTCTTTATTAAGTTAAATCATATTAAAGAAAAACTTCATTGAAGGAAGGAGCTTAAAGTAATTATGTCAGACATGGAATGTTCTGAAGAATTGCTGTAATCATATATTAAATTTACAGCGCCTGCTGGCAGCGCGGGAGGGAGAGCGAAGTTATCATTGTGTGTCATAATGGAGCCTTGGTACGATATTCTCTACACTTTGACACAGGGTTGTCTTGCTCATTGCAACTCTCAGCCCCATCACTTCTCTCACTTATTAGGGAAAAAGACTCAAGTAAGTCCTTTTGTTTGATCCTGTATTTTATAAAGTTCTGTGTTTGCTACTATAAATATAAATATATATGTGTGTGTGTGTACGTGTACGTGTATGTGTATGTGTATGTGTATGTGTATGTGTATGTGTATGTACATATATGTATATGTATCTGTATCTGTATATGTGTATGTATCTGTATATGTGTATGTATCTGTATGTGTATGTATATGTATGTGTATGTATATGTATATGTATGTATATGTATGTATATGTATATGTATGTATATGTATATGTATGTATATGTATATGTATGTATATATATATATATATATATATATATATATATATATATATATATATATATATATATATATATATATATTATATATATCTAATATATATATTTATCTATATATCTATATTTATATCTTTATCTATATATCTATATTTATATCTTTATCTATATATCTATATTTATATATCTATATCTATATATCTATATCTATATATCTATATCTATATATCTATATCTATATATCTATATCTATATATCTATATCTATCTATATGTATATATATGTATATATATGTATATATATGTATATATATGTATATATATGTATATATATGTATATATATATGTATATATATATATATATATATATATATATATATATATATATATATATATATATATATATATATATATATATATATATATATATATATACACACACACACACACACACACACACACACACACTGTAGCACATGTGTGACTGTGATCATATATATAAATGCAATAAATCTGAAGTATAAAAACATGATAACATATAGCCTTCTCATAAAGGGAGGATGCCAGTACTGAAGATCTTTATTTATATAATCACTGTTTATTACATAAATGAATAAGATTATTTTAATTTTATTATTTTTTTTCTTTTTCTTTTTTCTTTTCCTTTTAGGCGTGCGATCACTCCGAAGCCCCAAGATATGGGGCTACACTCTAGAACACATTCTTCTACAGCCACAGAGCGACCGGCTTGTTCTCCTTGCAACTAATGCTGGAGGACGACCAACAGCCCAGGGTGTGCTGCGCACGCCCCCACTTCGCACAGCTCATCTCAGTAATGATAAGATATTGGCTCAGCCCGTGACAGGATCTGACTTGTGTATCCTTTTTAGAAAAAGGGTTTATAGTTAAATACGGTTGTGTATTCTTTCAAATATGTGTAATCTTGGATTTTCTTGTCTTTGATGATCTGGTTTTTATTTCTTTTCTTTTCTTTTCTTTTCTGTAGTATTATCTTTTTTTCAGCTCATGTATTAGCTAG